TTTATCTCAATTGTATTTTGCAACTGCAAAATATTCTTCTTATTTGGGGTTGTTCCCAAACATGCTTTATGTTGGCTTGCACATTTTACCTCTTTGAAGCTTTTTAGTAATTGCTTTGGTTCTTGACAACTTCATAACCACAGCCATTAAGTCACAATAAAGACTAATGAAAAAAGTAATAAAATTTCCATGTATAACTAGGATGAAGATTCCTAGGGGAAATATTGAGCAAGTGATTACAGGGAAGATAATTGTCTGGTTAGAGAATTATATGCCCTGTGAGTTTGATATTAAACCTGTAAAATTGTCACTTAAAAATCAAAATATTAGAATTATTAAAACCCGAGCTGGAAGTCAGGAAGAGCTTGAGGTAGGTGAATTTTGCTTGCTTTCTGAAGGATGAGCAAGTTGTATGTTTTGTTAAAATTCAGGTTTGGTTATTTTTAGTGAAGAATAAATGCAATGTTATGCTGATGGTTGCAAATTATTGCTTGCTCTGTAGACTTGAGATCTGCAGGGCTGGGTTGGGTTTTTTTGTTTTTCTTTAAGGCACTGACATAGCAAGCAGTAGTGACATTGGAAATTCAGATTTTTTTGTCTGTCTGTGTAGAGCGTTGTGGGCATTTTGCTGCTTACAATTCTGGAAAAAGCACCAGCCCTACTAGATATATTGTAAGATAATTTAGTCAGATGAGCTCAAAGTTTCTTGACCCTTTACCTTAACTGAACTTTTGATCCTCTATGTTGTTTTTTTTTTTTTCTTCCTGCTTATGCAGCAATTTGTTTCCTGTTTTGATTTTCAGCATTGTAGATACATTGTGGTCTGCTGCCTAGATTTGGCCTATTTTGCTATTCACCTGTAAGCTAGAATAAATAATTTCTTTCCATGTAGCAAAATGAAATATTTTAGGCTTTTGAGACACGAAGATTTTGCCAGCTTTATGGTGCTGTTGCTGCTACTCATGCTAATGGAAATGATGATTTGCCTGTTGTGATTCTGGTGTAAATAGAGGGTCCCAAATCACTGATTTGTTTTCAGCAGTCACTACTTTTCTCTAACAAGATGAAAGGAAAGAACACAGATAACACGTGTTGTTTCTGTGTCCAGTTAGTTACAGATTATGTTAATTGGCTGTCTGGTTATAGTAGCCGTAGCAGATTAACTCCACCTACCCTCAGTTAAACTAGTGGGATTCTGGCCTTTTCACTGATTAAAGCAGCTCCTTAGTAGTAGCTTATTTACAGAGCATCTTACATAATTTATCAAACATCTGTCTGATGTGGACTAGAATTTATATTTGTTTCAGTCTTGAGACAATTAAGACAGAGAGAGGTTAAGTGTCTCTTGCCTGTACGTCTTGGGCAGTAACAAAAGAGGTCAAGTATTGTGCTTTTATTCTTATCTTTTGCTGCGACAGACAACTGTGTGCTTTTGAAAGCTGTGTTTTGTACCTCACTCTGCATCACCACAGCGTTTTCCATAATGGTGCTGGGATCTGGAAGGGTTGGGGAAGAAGCGTTGTAAAGGAAGAGTTTTTTTGTGGTTGGTCTGACTTTCCTAAGAAATTTAAAACGCGTTTATTGTGCTCGCTCTCGTTGCACGTCACAGGCAAGTTATATAGTAATAATGTTATATAAGCTGTAATAAATCCATTAAGCCTGACTAACCACTTTCTAACCTTTAGACAAGCTCCCTTCAAAATGAGTGTTTGTTTCTTATAATGCTTAACATTCACGTGTGAACTGTCGTGTCTTGAGCAGTGGTGCTTGCTCATAAATTTTGGTGTTGCTTCTCTTCAGCGCATCTGTAAATCTGTAAACTTCTTTGCGAGGGCGTTGGAGAGCAGCCGTGTGCCAAAAGACGGGACGATAAGTTACTCCGTTGGTTCTCCCTTTAGGTGCAAGTTAGTTGCTGGTGCCAAGCAGAGACTGTGGTGCATGGCAGTTCTTGTGTTCTGAACCTCAGTAATGTTCCTAGTCTTGCATCATTTAAAAAAAAAATAAAGCAGATTTTAACTGCTTTCTTACAGTATTTGAATAAAACATACTATTGAGGTAATTTGTACAAACCTTAGCTTAGATTCATGAGTCTCTAAGGAAGTATGATAGAGTGTGCAAAGTTAGTGCTTGTATTAGTGAGGTATTGGCTTTGCTATAACCCTTTTCTTCTATCTCTTTTTCCAAGACTGGAGGTGAACAAGCCAAAGTATCAATATTAGATGTATTTAGTTATATAGTCATATGACTCTCAATAAATTTCACTAGCAGTCCTGTAACAGCAGAGTAACTTTTGCTGAGGACAGGTATTTGCTTCCCAGCTTGCTGACTTTTGCACAGGTGTTTGTTGTGCAAAGTTGTCCTGTGCTTTTCAGTACGACCTTTGTCTTGAAGTGACAGAGGTTGTGCTGTATGTTGGACCATAGGTTACTTCCTGTGCCTTTCAAAGCTTTCCAAGATAAAGACAAGAAGGTGGGGGTGGGATTAGTGCTACAGGATGTGTAGAGAATAAAGTTTTTAAATGAATAGAGAATGTGTCTGCAAAACTTGCCAAAGCTCCACTGAAGAGTTGATTTCCTTCATCTTGGTTTAGTTAAACAGAACTTAAGGTATATCTAAAGATGTGCTTTAATGTTACAGAATGGGTAAGCAAAAAGAATAGTATCTGCTGCCTGAAGAGAAATTGTGATGCATAAGTTACTGTTTTATGTATACTATTTGGATTACAATTTTTATACAAAACATTTTAAATTTGAGAGGAGTTGATAGAGCACATGCAAATGTTACAGAATTTGAGTATTAGACAGTAAAAACTTGATAATTAAATGTTTTTTTACACACCCTTTGAGTGTAAGTAGGATGAAGAGGAGGGGATACCTTCAGCTATGTTCTCTGCCTTCCTTTTTGAAATGGAATGTTTCATCTAATGTCCAGAATGTGGATATCTAATGTTATAGGCTTCTACATAAATGCAGCGTATTTTTTTTAATTGAGACAGATTCCCTGCAGCTCCCATTTATATCAGTGACACAGCTGGTGAGGATCCCCTCTGAAATTCAGGTCAGTTTTATGTGGGTGGCAAAATAAAATTTAAGTCTGAAGTTGGGCATCTAGACTGGCATAGTTTGAGCTTCAGGTACAGTTTTATTCTAAAAGGAAAGCTCCAGGATGGCTTGGTGATAAATATTTGGAGTGAAAGCAGTGGAAGGAGGGTGGTTTCCAGCACGGGGCTGTTTTGGGAGGCACTACACAACACACTACCTGGACAGATTTGTTTAAAGAAGTAGTAGAGTTGTAAATCCATATAAACAGCATTAAGTTTAAGTAACACTATTAAATTAAAAATATCCTTGCTGGTTGAAGGAGCTGGAGGTTTGTTACAATTACTGTAAGCTGCGGTGACAATTTTGGCTGAGGTTGCATGGTTTCATTTAAACTTTATTAAACAAACTGGAGCTTGAATATTCCCTGGAGAGTTGGAAGCAGCACTAATCTTCTGTTAAACTGTCTTTACTGGAAACCATCCAGCCAAGGTAGCATTGAGGAGGTTTTTATTAATAAAAGTTGCCTAGACAGAATGTTATAGTCTGTGACTTTTCCTTTTGTGGAAAAGACCGTTTGTTTCGGTGGTGGGTTTGGAAGTAGGCAGCTATATTTTTAAGAATTAGAATATAGTATCTAACTACTGAAACTTGGTTTTGTGATTCGGATTTAGAACCTCACAATAAAAAGTTAGCTTCTATAGTCTTGAGGTGTAAATAATTAGGTGTGCCAGTTCCAGTTGCATTGCTTTCTCTGCAATAACATTGAGGTTGTGCCGCCTGTTACTGGTAGGAACAACGCGGAGATGGCTGTTTCTGTGTTGACTACCATAAACTTATTTTGGGGAGTCTTACATGTTCTGTTTTTCACCATCTGGTTATGAAAACAGCAACAGTCTATTCGACAGTGTAGTGTGTGTCTGTCTAATGACAGCTTGTGAATGGTCTTTATTTAGGTGTTTGTAGACAACTGTGTCCTGAAAGTGTTTAGTGAGACTGTGCCTTTGGAAAAAGTGAATATACTTAATGAAGGAACTTAAGTCAGTGTAGGAAACAGGGTTGTTAACGACATTTGTGTCTAAAGGTGGGATTAAAAATATAGAATCACAGAATGGTTAGGGTTGGAAGTGACCTCAAAGATCATCTAGTTCCAACCCCCCTGCCATGGGCAGGGACACCCTCCACTACACCAGGTTGCCCAAAGCCTCATCCAGCCTGGCCTTGAACACTTCCAGGGATGGGGCAGCCACAGCTTCTCCGTGGTCTATGATGCTTGCTGCATAGGACTCGGGGAACTGAGAGGAAGAAGGCAGCTTGTGAGCATGTGAGAGTTCTAATATTTGATATTATTGTAGTAATAGACGTGTTCTTCTGGAAAGGTTACTTTCATAGTTTAAGAGTTAGTTTTATTCTCAACATGCCATCATGTTGTATCTCTCTGTTGAATAATTGGTACTTTGGTGGTGGGATTTTGTATACAAATATTTTATTTGTCTTCCAGACTCATAGTAAACAGTGGTAATATCTTTGATTTATACTCTGCTTATTTCAGTAGTACTTTCATGTGCCTGGATCTAAATGTATAATGAACTTGTTTTTACGAAGTTTTGCAGATCATTGTAAATGGCCAGCATCTGTCATTTTAATATGTCCTGGGGAGGGAATGGAAGTAATTACCTTTCCTGTAATTCCATGACCTGTTTTGTAGTTTCTGCCTGCAAACAATAATATTACGTGGTCTCTGGCACTAATAACTTGCTTTTGAAATGTAACATGGACTGGCAGTACCAATTTATCATCTACTATTAAATGATATCCTGACGGTTCTTTTTGAATGTGTTAGTAGTACTGGCTGACTAGTTTTCTTCCCAACCTTTTTCCCACCAACCCATCCTTTGGCAGGACCGCAGTCACTTCTACATTTCATGGTAGATATGTGTGTATGGGGTCTTCCTATTCCTGAAATACACTCTTGGCAGTCGTGTGTGCCCAAGGAAGTGGCAGTAACTGCTGCATGCGGTGCTCTTGGGTGTGTATCTCCAAGATGGAGTTGGCCCAAGTTTCGTTGCTGTGCTTGTTATCTTAACTTGTGATACGGTGGGACCTGTTTGCTCAGAGTAGAGGCCTGCTCTGTCCTGTGAAACAGCAAACCAGCAGTTCTATCGAGGTTAAATGAATTCACTGCTCTGTTACAGCAGAGTTCAGCACAAGAGATACTGCTCTGTGCAGTTCTGTCACCAGAGTGGTTGCGTTTCGGTGCCTCCTAGAAACACGTAACTTGTTTTGTGCACTAAGGGATGTAAGGTGATAGATAAAGTGGTCTGCAGTTAGACTTGCCAGATTATAAATTGCTTTAATTTCTGTTAATATAGGTAAATCTCATAAAGGAATGGCCAATAAATTTTATTATTATGAAAGTACCTGACTGGCTAAAATAACTTTATATTCTCGCCTATTACATATAGTCAGTTCACATTTATTGGATTAATAAAATTTACCATTAAAACAGTAATTGGAAGTTTTACATGGCTATGAGCTGTTATATTTCTTTTAATTAATCCTAGCAAGAAAACAGTGCCTAAGTGTAACTCAGTAAGATCGTACTCGTGTTCTTGAGCAGTGCTTTTGCAGTGACCAGTTCAGCAGTGGCAGCAGCTGGAGGGTCACTGGAGTTGTGTGAAGGTGTTCAGCCCAGGAATCGCAGGGACCGAGTTCCTATGGAGCAGCCTTCTCTCTTCCCCACCGTGCTGCCATGCTGGGGAGAAACTTTAACAAACTGCAGCAAGGGACACAAGATCGGTAGTTAGAAAAGAATGGTGGAAAAAAAGATATATCCCTCGTATTTTTTTTTAATGAAAATTATTTGAAATTTCTATGCAGCCAGGAAACTAAACCGGAAAGCGTCTTTAATGACACAATGCCACTTTAAGTGGCAGTATGTGTTTTGTATGTTTCAACCCTATTTTTGCAGTAAGCAATAATTAGGTTACTTGAAAGTCCCTTATAATATGTGTACAGCCATAAGCATCTGGGTAGTTAATGCTTTGTTTGTATATAAACTTTTTTGCAAATGACGACAAATCAGATTGGATTAACTGGTGAGGAATTCAAAAAAATTAACAGAGGGGGAGAAAAAAAGAGAATGCAGAGTCTATTTTTATGAAAAGTGTGTGTGTGCTCATGCATATAAAAAATAGAATACATTAAAATATTTGCGTCAAAGAACGCAACGTGCTAGATTTTGTCTAAGATCGGGGTTGTTTGCTTCACTTTGCCAAAACAATGAAGCCAGTAGCTCCCCCTTTTTACGTCCCCGTGGCAATCCCAGCCTTTTACTCACTAAATATGTGGTGGGGAGTTGTTCCTTTTGGTTGAACGCTTGCTGTCTGTACGTTGTGCGTAAGAGATCCGGAGGAGATGAGGAGAAGCATCCCTCTGATGTGAAGCACTTCGCTCATTAATTTCTTGCACGTGTTTGGAGGAAAGGCTGCAGCGCGAGGGTCGGTTTCTTTGCAGAATCTTTATTTTGCTTCCTGTTGCCGTAATTCAGAAGGGCTGGCGAGTGTGGAGAGTGCTGCTTCAGGTTGTAAACATCATAGCTGGGAGTCTGTTTCCGGTTGGTTAGGGAAAATCTTGGAAGAAGACTTTTAACTGGTGTGCCCGGCAGTGTGTGAGCATTGATTAAAGCATCATGTCTAAAGACACACAGAAAGAAAATGTCCCTGTGGACAGATGTTAATATGAAGCAGTGAAATGTAAACACCTATAAGGCAAGTAGCAGTATTACACCAACATTCTTCTGCTGTATAATTAAAGTGTGCTTGTTTTATTAAAGCGTATTACTCATTAAAACAAGGTATGTGATGATAACTGGAGTATATCTTTAATTGATAGCACCAGTGCTATGCAGGTCACGCTTCAGGTTTCTTTCTTAGATCCTTTGAATTTTTTTTTGGTCAAAAGTACCCAGAATCTCTAATAGAATTTGAAAAGAAACATGACCCAATTTCTGTTCTTACACACGGTTGTTAAATGAAGTCACTAGTCTGTTTCAGTGTTGACTAGGATTAAAATTAGGGAGGAATGTTTCAGTGTGATTTACTTTTAAGGAGTGATTGTTCTTTTGATGAATGAATTAATCGAAATGTGGAAGTTTTAAAGAGAGTGCTGGATTAAGCTCTCAAGTGTTCTGTTTTATTTTGGCTGACAAAAAGCTTGTCAAGCTTTTGGCCATGCCAGTGTTGTTTCTGTTGGGCTTGTTATATCAGGGTGAGGAAGATGACTTACTATAAATACAGTGAAGTAGCTGTCATGTACAGCATCGTGTCTGTTGGCTTGGGGATGGTAAAGAGCTCTTTCTGCCCCACGTGGTAATTCACGTGTGACCCAGGTCGTGCTGTGTTACTCACTTCAACTCGATTTTTGACAAAGGACTTGTTTTGTTCAGCAAGATACTTCACTTCTTTCACACTTTGTTAGAAAGTTGCTTTATGCTTGTAAAACATGGAAGCAGGGGCTGCTTTTTAGGAAGCTCACGTGCAAGTATGAACGGGATGGCATCGAGCTTCTCACATTTACAGATTGTGAACAAGTTTGAGCAGGTTTTAGCTGGCAAGCAGATTTTGACTGTGCAAGAAGATCTTAGGTTAAGAATTACATTTAGTCCAAAGTTTAACTGTAGTATACCTGTTAAATTCAGGCTTCACCGTACTGTCTTATAAGCATGGAAGTGTCGATGAAATATCTTTTTTTATATGGAAAAGTAGACTGGTTGCTATATGGAACTGCTGGAAGCATGCTGGAGCTGCTCTTAATAATATTCACCACTGCTGGTTACAGATCGTTTATCTGGCTTACATGCGATGTAAAATTGATCATAAAGCTGGCTTATTTTCCTTTTGTGTGACAATAATGGTGCTTAATTTAGAACAAATTATAATACGCTATTGTAGTCAGAGAAAACTTAAGCAGTGAACTGTTGTAATCGTTGATGTTAACTTTAGGTCTGCTTCACTTCTCTCGGGAAGATCAGATTATTAGATCTTGTTTTATAGTACCAAGGTTTTCCCACTACTTAGGTGAAATAATGCATTTAATTTCTTCCTTTGTTTTTATTGTAAAGGTAAATGTAAGGTGTAGAAGATTTTGAGAGTCCTTGAGCTATTACGTTTCTATGACATCTTTATTGACCAAATCTTTTTTTTTTTTTCTTCTCCCTTCTCACTGAACACAGTTACAGACATAGAGCTAAAGCGGCTGAAAGATGCTTTCAAGAGAACTTGTGGACTTTCATATTATATGACTCAACAGTGCTTCATCAGAGAAGTTCTTGGTGATGGAGTCCCTCCGAAAGTTGCCGAGGTAATCTATGAACTTGCTCTTTTTCTGAGGAGGCATATGTAGCTGGTGATGCACACCTGTAGATGTGCACACGCAAATATGCCTATATAGGTAACTGTTTAGGTATCCATCCATGCATATATAAGAATATACTATAGATATTACATTAAGAAATTATAATTACATTAATTAAAAATCTGTCCTTAAAGACACAGTTTTGGTGATGATTATCTCTCTTAACATTGTGGTTATACTGCAGTTCTTGGTTTCCAGTGGCTGAAGGAAAATTAATGGAAGAATCATTGGTTTTTGATGTCATCTCATCAAAACTGGCATGTGGACATCTCAAAATTCTAGTGCAAGTTACTGTGTACTTCTAGCATTCATATTCAGGCAATGCAGTAGTCATATCTGTGAGCTTGAATACTGTACAGTCGGACAAAATTTGGATTTGATTCTGCTCGTACTGTAAAGGGATGCTTTGTAATTCCTGACTGCAGGATGTGGAAAGGCAGGCAAAGTCATTAGGTACCTTAAAGCCTTGTTCTGAGTTGTCAGCCTTTCAGTCATTAAAATTGATCATTTTGAGCCTCAGATTGCTGGGCTGTCTTCTCGGCATGATTTGAATAACAGTTTTTCATATCTGAGTAGTGATAGGCCTTCAGGAATTAATTAAATTAAAACCACAGAGTTTTGCAGCAGGGACATAGAACTGAAGCCAGTGGAACTTTGGTCAAACGTTTGCGTGATTGTGGTGCACACAAAACATTTTCTTTTTTAAATGTTCAGGACAGTAATTTTCTGGAAGGATCTCTTGGAAAAATGGAGTTGAAGATATTAATAAAATGAAATTCAGAGATGTGCTGTATCTGCGTTGTTTTAACTGCAGGAAAGCTGGTCGAGTGGTGAGATGTGTGAGCACAGCAATTATTTTTAAATCTAAGGTAATGATGCAATTCCCGTGTGCAGTTGTGGGCACCTTGATAGAAAAAGTGTTGTTCAGGGGAGGCAGAAGGACAGAATGCTGATAATATTTATATAATGTGCTGACTAACTGGTGAACAAGCTGCAGTCCAAGTAACGCAAAGACAAGAGGGGTGATGCTAACGGAGACATGAAGGACACGTTGAGGTGGCTGCCGAAAGTGCAAGAACACAGACTTCTCAAAGACAGAGAGAAGGGTCATAAGGCTAAAATCAGGAAAGAATCCAGGATATTTTATACTCTAGAGAAAGGAGCCAAAAGAATTCCTTGAGCATCATCTTCTCCTCTTCCAACAGGCTTACTAGAGCATACAGGCATAGGACCAGGGATTGGGACCTGAAGGGAACTGGTTGTGTAGACTGAGACTTTTTTTAACCAAAAAGGAACCATATTGTTATATTCTTCAGTTATCCATGAAATATAACATGTCAGACTTTTTTTTTTTTTTAAATATGCCTTTGTGCCATATAATTATACTAAATTTTGCATTCTGAAGTGTAAATTGCTACGATACTGTCTGGTTGTGGCTATTTTAAGTAAAGCTGCAACAATATTAAGTAATTTTGGAAAATGCAAAGTTGTGTTGTATTTTGATGGTGCATCTTAGAAGTTTTCCATACAGCACATTGATGTGAACAGTTGTGGAGCTCCTTCCTTAGAAATGCAAACTTATCTCTGTTGTGTATTGTTATGTAACTATTCAGTGTTCAGAAACTCTTCCCAAAAAACGATTAGGCAGCTAAAGTCAAAGCAGTGCCAGCTGCTGATGGTCGTAATTACCTATGTTAAATACTAATACATTGGACATTATCCATAGAATTCCTTTTCCGTTTATATTCTGTTGAAATAATATATAAATCTAAATATTTGGCATTCAAGTGGTATCAGAACTGAGATGTACAAAGTTCAAAAGAAGTGAGTGGAAAAACTCAGAAATGGGTATGAATGAGAAATATGCTTTCAGATGGATGAAGAGAGGAATCAGCTTTATTCGAGGTAATTTATAAAATAGCTGTTCCTAAAGCCTAAAAGCACAGGTTAAATTTGAGTAATGGAGAATAAAGTGTAAGGAAAAGATCATATTTTATTAAAATGTGTGAAAGAAAAACAGTGATTTCTCATTTGTTTGTTCATATATGTATTTTTTGTCTTGGAAATCCTTTTAATCTGAAATGTAAGAATTTTCTTGAGGTTTTTTGAATCAAAAATAGTTACATTGAGACTTAAACTATAGTGTTCAGCAGAGCTAACTGCCTATTTTAAAAAGGGAATGATTCCCAAGTAACATAAAGGTAAATTGCTTACATATGCAGGGTAGCCTTGAAGGCATCTTGTGAAATCAGAATGATTAGACATAGGAGGTGTGGAATTGAAGACTCTGCCGTGACATTGTCCATGAAGCATATATAGTCATTGTGCCCACATAGAGCACAAATATAGTTCTAATAATTGAGCCCTTCAAGCATTTGTAAATGGATTAAACTTCAGTAATAGAAGAAGATTCTCTGAGTACCCTATGGGCAGTTAATGTTTTTGGGTAGCGCTGTGTCTCGTAGTGGAATGAAGCCGCAGGTTCTACGTAATGCTTTCTGTAGAGCTACATCCTCCTGTCTTAGCGGCTTCATTTACATTTACTTGCCTTCAGACATCTTCTAATAGTCTGAAGTGGATAGCAGTGAAAAATGATAGCTTGATGGGTGGGCATGGAGAGGAGTTACTGAAGGGAACACATAGAACTGTGTCAAGGTAAGTGTCTTCAGGGAATCTGCTTCAGCAATAATAACTGCAATAAGGGGGTGAACAAAATTTTCGAATTTTTTACAGTCTCGTTGCCTGATAATTCTTCAGAGGTCGTCTGGAGCACATTCTGCAAATGACTTCTGCTAGTCTGCTTCCTATGGCTGGAAAGGCAACAGTGGTAGATTTTCCACACCTTGTTGTACACAAAGCATAAAGGGCAGTCAGAATAGTAAATCTGATGTAGGTAGTCTGTCTGAGGTGTCTCCTTGTCTTCTTTTTGCCACTGCAGCGCTGTGTGGTGTAGCCAGAGCTATGCAGTGCCCTTGGCAGGCCTGTGGCTGGTTTTGTTTGGTCACTCCCAGTACTGGCTTAATTTTTACTTGAGATGGAACCACACCTGAGCTAGTAAGAGCAGTGACTCATTGACATGGTTCTGGTATTCAACCCTCCTCTTCCACTCTTACTGCAGCATTGTGACTGCTGTTACTGGGGGATGTGGGAAGAAGAGGGGATAGAAAAGAGGGCTTGTGGTTCCAGTGACTTCCTTCTTGTTCCACATAACCTTGTGAATCTCTTGTGGAATCCTCATCATCCTTACGATTAGATGCTCAGTCTGATATCTGTAAGAAAAACAAATTAAAAGACCTGAACACTGAAATAATAATTCTATGTAAGAATAATTTACAAGTTCTGACTGCTTTAAAATCTAATACCTGTTGCAGATTTCTGTCTTGCGATACTGATAAACTACTGATGCTTGTAGGAATAGATTTGGGATTACAGGAGGAGTCTTGAGTTTTAAGAGCAGTACAGCATATGTATTTTCATTTGTGCTTGTAGTATCGGAGGCAAAGGGAAGTAATATATTGCAGTCCTAAAGTGACTGACTTCCTTCGTATCTCGTACATCAGTGTTGAATCAGTGTTAAGGAGCCGTTGAGTAAGTCAAGCTGCAGTTTCCAGGCTTTTCATGTGAAGGGTGGATGCTTCAGCCCTTCGTTGGCTGCGTTGCTCCTGGCGGCTGCTCAGTGGATCCTCATGTAACTTCTGAACAGAAGTCTTGGTTTCTAGTGCTTTCTGTTGGAAGAAAGATTTAAATGCTGCTGTTAGAGTACTAAACTGGAATGGTCATTCTAGAAACAGTTGCAGTGTGAACATAGTTCAGGTGTCGGAAGGTGTTTGTGTTTTTTTGTGTCACATCATTTCGCAGCAGTGGTTTTTGATGGCTTACTGGAAGTGCATCCCTGCGATTGGGGCTATGAAACACTTCATGCTCCAGCAACCTCTTGATGGCTTTGAGACTGTCAAAGCCTGGTCTGGAGGAGATTTCATCTTCATTACCTTCACAAAGAAGTCTGGGGAAATAGCACCAGTGAGCAAGCAAAAAGCTGTCTTCATTGGAGGAGTCTAACATTTTTTTTTTTTTTTAATGTTGCTGTTTTTGAAAATTACCTGCATTTCACTAAATAAAAGACTGTGGAAAGGCTATTTTATAGGTACTGGCAGAGCTACGAAAGTGTAACAGAACTAATATTAGAAGTGTCTTCAGCTTAATGTGAAGTGACAGCCTAAAAACCACGTAAGATGGAGCCTCAGTATAATTTGTTGCTTTTAGTTCTGGCATCTCTGTTCTCCCTGTGAACTTTTTGGTTAACTTCTCTTTTTTTCTTCTAGGTTATCTACTGTTCATTTGGAGGAATATCCAAAGGGCTGCACTTCAATAACTTGATAGTCGGATTAGTTCTACTTACAAGAGGCAAAGAGGAAGAGAAAGCAAAGTGTAAGTAATGTTAACTTACAACAGTAACAAGAAGATAGTGGATAGTGAGTGTAAAATACACTGATGTAAAGCAGACATAAATCGTGGAATACTAAGTCTCTATTTTTATATTGTAACCAGGACACACCTTTGCCAATAAAGATAGTATTTTTTAGGCATTTTTAGCTGTGTATTTTGAAATTTGGTGCGGTTTTATTTTCTATACTCACCAAAATGAAATATTTGCTAAGCCGTCATGAGTGTAAATGTTAGGATCCTACAGACTGTTGATCACTGCATGTGGGCAGAGGAAGGAGGATGACATTGATATTTTTCAAAACAAATGAAAGCATCTGCCTACTGACTTCTGTTGTTTTGTCTTCCTTGTTAATCTGACTTGATAGTGTTTATTTTCCTTTTGATTAATGGACAGTGCTGAAAGAAAAAGGAGATACTTCTTGACCTAAACCTTGTTGAGCTATACTGAAATTGAATCTACCTAAATTTTTAGTCCTTTAGTTGTTGCACAGCCTTCAGCATTCTCAGCCACTTGTAAACTTAATATTTGAAAAATGTAACTACTGTAGTTGCTTAAACATATCTCTACTTCCTCAGACATTTTCAGTCTCTTTTCTAATGAATCTGGGAGTTATGTTGTCCGTGAAGAGATGGAGAAGATGCTGCATGTGGTTGATGGGAAAGTCCCAGAGTCACTCAAGAAATGTTTCTCTGAGGTATTTCATACAGGTTTTATCCTATTGCATTTACAAAAAAGTGAAGATTACATAGGGTAGTTTGTTTTTTTTCCTGACATACACATGCTCCTGCATGTATGGAAACAAAATGACCTTATTTAAATTGTGTAAAAGCTTTTATTTTTTTATGTCGTAATATTATATGTAATTTGTATTGATGTGAATAGCAGCTTGGTATATAAACGTAGGCATTCTCCATGCTGCTTTACTTACTGCGCTAGTTTGAAAGATACCATTTCCCAAAAGTAATCATGTTATCAAGTAAATTTAAATACTAATACTGCTACTGGAAATTTATTAATTAGTGTGGATATTTTATTGCAATTGGAAAGAAATTCAGAACACAGATCTGAGAGGGCTAAGAAAATCTACGTCCTGGATTTAAAAATGCCAGCAGTGGTTGCTTAAAAATAATAGTTCTGTAGTATTACTTTTATCTCATTGTGCCTGCCTGCCAGGAGCTACAACATTTATTTATGCTTTAGGCTGTTTGAGAGATGTAATCTTTATGAAGCTTGCTGAAGTCCTCCTCTAAACCAGGCTATGGTTACTTTTAAATATTCACAGATACTACTTTGGCACTAGTGATCCTGATTTATTGTCAGGTTTTTGAGCTTTGGTTCATTTGTTATCAGAGGACTATATCAGCAAAATGTAGTCATCATTATTCGTTCTGCTGAAAAAATTATTTACTAGAAGCTCTATTTGTGGATATCAGATGACTTAAGTACCTTACATTTTATTGTGTTGTGTTGAAGATAACTTTGGTTATGGGCATCGGCTGAAGCACGCTCATTTAATCTGGGGGTGGTCTCATGTTGGCTTTGTAGGCAATGATTACCTTCTTCATTCTTGGCTGGAATCATAAATCAGACGTATACTGCAGTCCAGTTTCTGGAACTGACCCACTTCAGTATTTCCTATTTATAATATCCCATCAATATGGTGTGATGAATTTATAGCCTAATAGTTAGTTGCACACTGTCCAAGAAATCCAGAAATACTTTATGAAGACTTGCAGGAAGAGAAGTATCAATCTGGCTTCATACCATTTGCCTGTCCAAGAAAATGCTGTATATTGATTTTTCTTTTAAAATGAAAATAGTGTAATAACCCACTCGGCAGGATTTACTGGCCTGTTAATCATACGAGGTCGTTGCTGGAGAGTGAGAAAGTTTTATGTTCCTGCTGTGGGCCTGCCTTCCTGCCACATGGCGGATGAGTTTATGCTTTCAAGGATGATGTTCATAGGTACTTTTGTTCTTCAGAATTATTGCATGTACTCATCTAGAAATACAAGCTTTAAAATATGTCTGAGATCTGAGTTTTCCTCACTCTTGTTTCTGAAATACAGGAATCAAATTCAGTGGTACCTGCGTTGCTCCAGTTGCTCAGATTCCATCATGGCTCAGCTGTAAACTTTACTTGCTTCAAGTGCTTTTTTCCTCCTGTCCACAGTTTTCTATTCCTCATTTTTCCTTGTCCTTCCCCTAATAATTGGAACAACACAGTCACAGTCACACTGAAACATGTCACAGCTCTTGCTGCTTTTACGGAAATCAGTGCAAAAAGTAGAGGGAAAGTAGAATGGAACAAGTGGCAAGGAAATGATCTTGTCTCTGATCCAAACTGTTAGAAAAATTAAAAAAAAAAAATTTCTGGGGTACTTTAATTTGGCAGTAGAGGTGGTTTTTTTTCTTAAGCAACTGATTCCATAATGGGTTAAATCCTGCAAAGTCCACATAGTTGAGTTGCCCTTTTCCTGACTGTCATTCATTCTCCTACCTTTGTACTGGCTCAAGTATTTATATGATGCCTTGATGAACTGGATTGCAAAACTGGTCTGGCTGAGGAGCAGATGCTTTTTCTGTAGCTCCGGATCCTGTAGGTTATTTTTCAGCTCGATCTGTTTTGCCACATGGCTGCACTAACATGACTGCAGTCACAAAAGAGAAGGGATGAAGGACCAGAAACAGTGTTGGTAAGGAGGAGGTTAGGACCATGTTGTGAGTCAGTAGTGTGGGTATATACAGATTAAACTGGTGATGGAAAAGCAACGTAGCATCTTGACTTCCTTGAATTACAACCATGTGGAAGTCTGTGATAGTAGCTGTAAGTATTGCTGTATTTCTGCATGTGTTTGTTGGAGAAAAATGTACGACTCTAGTCTGGGAAAAATAGGCATAAAAAGAATGAGAATCTCGAACCTGAAATAATTCATTGCAATTGGAATATGAAGGAAATGTTTTAGCAGTGATGGTGATTAACCATTTGAACAACCTGGCAAAGGAAATAGTGGATTTTCAATTTTCTACAATTGGCAGTTGCAGATAGTCCATGGCCAAATGCGAATTGTTGGATTCTGTAGAGGTGTAATTCAGTGAAGTGTAATGGTCTGTGATATTAGGGAAGTTTAAATAATCAATGACTTGAAACCTCTTTCACTTTGCAGACCCCTGTTTGTTTTCCATGGAGATTAGGTTCTCCATATAACGAGTTTGTCTGCTGATGATAGGTTTGCTTTTGTCTAGTTAGTTTTGTAGTTCCAGTAGAAATTAGTCTGCTGATCCCTATAGTTTCATGGCCACAACTTGGAAACCATTCAACTGAATGGTTTAGACAGCCTCTCCAGCATTTAAACTCCATAAATCTATAGGATTTATGTGTTCCTGAACAGGCAGTTTGATGAGATGTCCAGCAGGAGAGACCGAGTTAGGAGATGTTATGGATGTCCTGTACACATGTATGCTCCAAAGTGGGTTTTGGACAATAGAGGCAAAAAAATGACATGCTACTGCAGTTATTAATCATACTATTAGTTATTCACAAATCTAATTTCTCCATGTTAAGTGTTTGTGTACTTACGCAGATATAGCAGAATGTTTATTATTTTATAGCACCTGTTGTTTGGCACATAAGAGGCTTTTATCTATCATAATAAATTTAAAATCATACAAATAACCTCTGTTACTTTGAGTTGTAAGTAACCATTTCTCTTCTAATCTCTTTAACCTGATGTTCAGAGTAAATGACTTTCCAAAGGCCACACTGAGTAGGTGGTTGAAATGCGGAGAGCACCGAGGAGTCTAATTTCCCTCCCAGTGCTGTATTTCAGAATCAAATGGAAAAACAAGCATGGCTTCAACGAAAAAAATTATTTTAGTATTTATTTTGATAGGAGATTGTCCTAGTTCTTGTTCATACAGCGGGATGGCTCCTGTTTACTGGTACTGAGAAAACAGAAAACCAGCTCAGCCTTTCTGATTTTTCTTCCAGGGTGAAAAGGTGAACTACGAGAAATTCAGGGTTTGGCTGTTGCTCAACAAAGATGCTTTCACGTTTTCCCGTTGGCTGCTGTCTGGAGGTGTGTACGTGACACTCACTGATGACAGCGATACCCCCACCTTCTATCAGACCCTGGCTGGAGTCACACACCGTAAGTAAACAATGCTTGTTATTGTGGGCATTTTTAAAAACCGTTTCAGAGTTCAGACAAACTGTTACTTTGCTTTAGTTGTTGGCTAAACCTCAGTAATCTAATGAGATTCGTGCTGTTCTCTTCAGTGAGATAAATTTCTTCTCTGTGCTAATTCGTTCTCTGCTTTTTGTGCTGTGGCAGGTCAAACATTGGTATATGCAAGGACATAGTGGGTCATTATTTTTAAGAGATAACAATACTGAGGTTACAGCACTTCTTATAGTAGAAGTTTGCTACCCACTAAATTAAAAAACAAACAAACAAAAACCCAACCAAAAATAAGCAAACAAGCAAAAACCAAAAAGGAAAATATCTTCTCTTTGACAAATACATTTCTCTAAAGTGACTTGACATTAATATTGGTTTTATGTTTGGTCTTTCAGATATAGTGGATCGTAAAACTATTGAGACAGTTCTGAAAATAATGCTAATTTAAAAAAAAAAGTATTACATCTTAATTTGCTTTCTGCAGTGAAATAAATAATATTTCTGGCATGCGATGTAGTTGGGGAGCTAAATTAACTAAGAGAAGCCTCCTCAGGATTTGCATTTAGAAATAATCTCCAAAGAACAAGTGCTTCTTTATGTCTATATTAATGTAAAAGAAGGAGCAGCTGTTTTTTAAATTAAATGTAAAAACAAAAGGCTGATAAATGACACTTGCTGCGCCAGTATAATGTGTGCATACATTACAGTGAAGCAGCTGAGGGACATCGGTGTCCCTAGGAGAAGGCTGTTTGCCATTGAGATGTCAGTGATTTGAGCAACCTGGTTGTGTTTTATGTGCTCTCATAGATTTTCTTTGTTGGTGTGAGCGTGACATTTAATCTCTTTAATGGGTTACTTGAATAAAGCAACATACAGTTTTTGCTCTTGGTTTTAAATACGAGCATTAAAATTCTGTTCTGACTGTCTGAAATGAAAATGCATAATAAAATTAGAAGTTTATAGACAGGTAATTTATTTACATTACATGAGAGACTGCAGTAGGCATTGAGGTTCCAGAAGACCAGTAAATACTCCAAAGTCTAATATACAAGGTAGAGAAAGAGGTATGCTAAAAAAAACCCAATAAAAACCCAACAACCAACCCTCTTTGAATTCGATAGGCTTCAGCCCTTGGAAGAATCTCTCAAGCTGGATCTATCACACCTCCCACCTTGTCAAGCCTCCTTTGCCCTAAGCGTTCAAAGACAGCCTTACCCCAGGCCTCTGGATGTTGTCTCGGAGCTTACTTCAATATTTTTCGTCTTTAACATAGAAATAGAAACTTTTTCTGGACAATTTTTACTATGCTTTTTGCAGAAAGTTTATTTATACTGAAACTGAGGTTTATGATTTTTTTAAGAGCTATAAATGGAATAGATTTTATTTCTTATTTAATGCTGTTCTTACTTCTTCTCTTTTTGATATACTTGTCACTGTTACCATTTGCAGCCAGGCTCTCAACTGTGTTCCCAGCTATTTCAGATGTGCAAAATAAGTGACACGGGAAAGAAATGGTCTTTAGACTGAAAAGCTTAATATTCTACTTTAACCAACCCACACCTATGTTCTTGTATCAAGAAGAAAGCCTTTCTTCAACTTTTAGGCTAAGAGATTTTTTGCACTTTATACAAAGAATTAGAGAAATGAAGACTGAAATGCTGTAATTATAAACAAAATTAAGGAGACTGGATGAGAGGCTTATCAGAAAAAACTGAATGGGGACAAAATCAGTTCTTATTCTTGGAAGAAAATTGTTCAGGTGGTTCCAGGTCATATTTATGTCTACTGTAGTAGTTTATTTTTTCTTTTCATTTTTTAGAGCGAGTACTTTCATTTTCTCAACTCAAATTTGTCAACCTTTGTCTTTAACAGAATCTCAGTCACTTAATCAGTCTCTATCAAATCAAACCACCTCAAGTAGCTCAGTTTACAATTTAGCCTTTTTGATTGCAAGGACCTATCAACTAATCACGCTGTCTCTGCTGCCATTTCTGCCTTGCCATCCTTTCCTGAGCGTGCCTTCCGCAGGAGCGTGGTCTGTTTTCCATTTAATGGCAATTGTCCTGTCTAACTTCCAGTTACTTCTTTGACATCTTCAACTGTACAGTCTCAAATCTTGCTTAATTGCTCTTAACATAGACGGACTCCTCACGAAGCAACTGCCTTGCTCTCTGTTTAAATTTTCATAGCAGACTCGGTGAGCCAACCTCAGATAGCCATCATCTTTGTTGGAAATGTCAGTGCTGAAATCAGCTCACTCTGCCTCTTAGCTGTATCTCTTAATTGCCCCATCCCTGGGAACATTCAAGGTCAGGTTGGACAGGGCTCTGAGCAACCTGATCTAGATGAAGATGTCCCTGCTCACTGCAAGGGAGTTGGACTAGATGGCCTTTAAAGGTCCTTTCCAACCCAAACTATTCTGTGATTCTACGATAATTCCTCATATTTTAAGACTAGAAGTTCAAGTAATGTTCCTATATTTGGTTTTAATCTCTCTAAGATCAAGTTAGTTTGTAATAGTTTCATAACACTCATGTCTTGCAGCATCTGATACTGTAAACAAAATTACAGAAGGAAGTGTTTAGTCTTTCTTTTCTAGGAGATGTGCATGTGTCATTGCCCTTCTACGTGTGCCACTTCATATGGCTACATGTTCTGAGAAGTTACTAGATTTTTAAAGCCTTGTGAAATATGTTTGCAGTTTTGGGTCTCTGCTGGGCGTTTCAACACAACCTATTGTCTCAGGGGAAAAACATTTAATATTAATATTAATTTCTGATGCTGTATATTGAATCAGACTACTGAGAAAATGGATGTTTTCTAGTAGTTGGTGGTCTTGGTTTCTTTACTGACAGCTTACCCTTGTAAGCTGTTGACTGAGTGAAAAATGAAGTTTTCCATTGTTAAGATTAGAAAGCTAAAATAAAATATTTGAGTGTTTGAAGTGCTTATTGAATCTTAAGTGCATGTCAAATCTAGGGTCGAGCTTTTCATTGTATTCCAGAAACCTATGTAGCTGACATGTATTTTTGAATCAGTAAAACGTTTCAAACTGCATGCTGTCCAGAGACTCTGCATACTTAACTGGCATATGAGCTTTCCAAATTGGGTTATCTTTGGACCTCTAGATAAAATTAAATTTTACTATATTTTTTGCTATTTTCCAGTTAAATGTCGTAATAAGAAAAACGTAAAGTAGTTGTGCTGTGTTATGATGTCTGCAGCCTGGTACCTTTCAAATGACAGATATGGAAAACTGACAGGAATTTAAGATAGTAGGAAGATGAACTGGTGAACTAACCCGCTGGTGAGCTACCCAGCCTCCCCAGGTCCGGGCAATTACTTTCTTTATAATGTATCCGACGCTTTCCCTTGTGATTGGAGACATTGTGGGATTCTCATACAACAGATGTAAAAGTAAGGAAAACATAAGTGCTTGAGCACTTGGAAGTAATTGCAGTGAAGTATGAATACTTGAGGCCTTGCTGGTTTGGTTTTAGGTTTAATAATTCCAGTCTAGGCAGGTCAATGTAAGGAATAAGAAAATTAGTACGGAAGTATGTTTAACACCGCTGGATGTATAAACCAGTAAGAGCTGTTACACCACTGGATGTATAAACCAGTAAGAGCTGTTAACAATAGTTCCTTTTCTCTAAACCAAGGCTCATTTTTTTTGTACTTTTACCTGGGATAATGGTGGCCTTTTCGGAGACTAACTGAAATAATATTTAGCAAACCTGGGCAAACACTGTTAGCAGAATACAGTGAAAGGGCAAAAGGTTTTAAGATTTCTTCTACTGTAAAATGAAAACTAATTTATGAAACTTGCTAGAGCAATTTCTGATTTCTCAGCTGGCTGCCGGGCTCTGGCTGGGAGGCAGCACGGTCTCTCCGGGCTCACGCTCCGGACCCTCCTCGTAAGCCTTACCTCCTCTCGCCGTGTGCTTCCCATTAAACATCTTGGATAATATGTCAGAGACATGAAAAATTGCAGTAATAAAAATAGTGAAAGTTCCTAACATTGATTTAGAAACAGACAGCGAACATTTTATTTCAAAGCGTCAGTGACTCCGTTTAAATTTGCTTAATGAGCCAAGCTATCAGGGAAACAAAGGAATTCTAGTTTTTCATTTGTATATAACATTTATTTTGGTATGCAGACGACTTTAATTATATTTCTCAACACATAATTAGAAAGGAAATTTTAAAGTTACAGAAAGTTGCACACACTTGCTACTTTTAATCAAATTTTGTTCCGTTTCAGTTAAATCAGAAATACAAATCATTTCATTTGAAAGTCACCAAAATAACTTACGTTTCTCTTGGGCCTTTGTTCCCAAAAAGCAGTTTCAGGGATACGAGTCTGTCCTACACCTTAGTACTGACCAGCTAGGAGTAGTTTGGATTTTCTCAGTTTCATAGTATGATTGACTACCTTTTGATTTTTTTTGCTTTAGTTTTTTGTGTTTTTTCTTAAACCATCATATTGAAGAGTTCTGTAGAGGAGCATATAAATCAAAGATAAATCCTGTCAGGGACTACTGCTAACACTAAAATTCCCTGTAGGGGAATGTTCCTCTCAAACATTAAACATCCTTAATAATTACTAATTAAACAACTACTCTGGTCCTCAGACCAAACACAATAATTCAATAAAACAAGAATTCTCGACCATTGGAGGATGTCATTTTATTGCCTGCCCTGGCTGGTTGGCACTCCTGTAAGTACCCAAATGGAACTGACTCCATCCTGCTGGCAAAATACAGCTTTCTGTGGCTTCGTTGGGCAGACGGCTGTACGGGAACGTGAGACACATGGAAGGGTCTCTTCTCCCACCAAGTGCAGACCCTGGAGGGGTCAGTGTGTCATTCCTTTCATAAGATACTGAGGCTTATTGTTTTGTGGGGGTTTTTTTGTCCTCCAGTTGGGGAGAATTATTCCAGTACATCTTCTACATGAATTCATGGGCA